AAATTAAACATCCATTTCTGATAAAAACTCTTAGAAAACTAGGAATAGAAAGGAATTTTCTCAACTTGATAAAGGGCCTCCATAAAAAATCTACAGCTAACATTGTCCTTAATATGACCGTCTGAGTGCCTTCTCCCTAAGATCAAGGCAGAGATGTCTTCTCTTACTACTTCTATTCAATATTATACTGAGGGATCTAGGCAGTGCAATAAGGCAAGAAAAATAAATAAAAGGCATCAAGATTGGAAAGGAAGAAATAAAACTGCCTTTATTTGCAGACAACATGATCATCTATGTAGAAAATCCTATGGAATCTTCAAAAACAATTCCTATAAAGAATAAGCAAATTTAACCAGGTTGCAGAATACAAGGTCAATATACAAAAATCAGTTGATCTCAATACATTACCAATGAACAATCAGAAATTGAAATTAAGAAAACAATAACATTAAAATGTATGAAATACTTAGAGACAAATCTGACAAAAGATGTGCAAATCCTGTGCACTAAAAACTACAAAATATTGCTGCAACAAACTAGAGAAGATCTAAATAAATGGAGAGATATACAGTGTTAACAGATTGGAAGCCTCAGTTTCATTAAGATGTCAATTCTGTACAAATCAATCTACAGATTCAATGTGTAATCCCTATCAAAATCCCAGCATACTTTTCTTTTCTTTTCTTTTTTTTTCTTTAGAAATTCACGAGCTGATTCTAAACTTTATATGGAAATTCAAAGGACCTTAAGTGGCCAAAACAACTTTGAAAAAGAACAAGATTGGAGGACTTACACTACTTGTTTTCAAGACTTATTACAAAGCTACAGTAATCAAGACAGTGTCATGTTGGTATAAAGAAAGATTAAAAAAAAAAAAATCAATGGACCAGAATAGAAGTTCAGAAATAGATCTACAATGGTAAAGACAATTCAGTGGAGGAAGGATAATCTTCTCAACAAATGGTACTAGAATAATTGGATACATAAACTCAACTGAAACAATGTATACTTCACATCCTATACAAAATTAATCACATAGCTGAATGTACCACCAAAATCTATAAAACTTCTAGAATAAACGTAGGAGAAATCGTTGTGAACTCAAGTTAGGCAAAGATTTTTTAGATACCACACCCAAACCATGATTTATAAGAAAACAAAACTTGAGGCCGGCCTGCTGCTGGCGGCCTGGGGTTCCGATCCCGGGCGCGCATCAATGCACTGCTTGTCAGGCCATGCTGTGGTGGTGTCCCACATAACATGGAGGAAGATGGGCACAGATGTTAGCTCAGGGCCAGTCTTCCTCAGCAAAAATGAGGAGGAATGGCATGGATGTTAGCTCAGTGCTGATCATCCTCACAAAAACAAAACGACAACAACAAAACCTGACACATTGGATTCAATTAAAACTAAAACCTTCTGCTCTGTGAAAGAAACTGTTAAGGATATAAAAAGACAAGTCACAGACTGGGAGAAAATATTTGCAAATCACCTATCTGATAAAGGACTTGTATTGGAATATATAAAGAACTCTCAAAATATAGTGATAAGAAAACCAACAAGCCAATTTAAAAAGGAGCAAAAAGTTTGGACAGACACTTCACCGAAGAAGATATACTAATGGTAAATAAGCACGTGAAAAGATGCTTAACCTCATTAGTCATTATAGAAATGCAAATGAAAACCACAGTGAGATACTACTACCTTCCTATTAAAATGGCTAAAATTAAAAAGATGGACCATACCAAGTGTTGGCGAGGATATGGAACAAGTGGAACTCCCACAAACTGCTGGTGGGAATGTACAATAGTACAACCAGCTCAGAAAACAATTTGGCAGTTTCTTTAAAAGTTAAACAGGGCCGGCCCGTGGCTTAGCGGTTAAGCGCGCTCGCTCCGCTGAGGGCGGCCTGGGTTCGGATCCCGTGCTCGCATCGACGCACCACTTCTCTGGCCATGCTGAGGCCGTGTCCCACATACAGCAACTAGAAGGATGTGCAACTATGACATACAACTATCTACTGGGGCTTTGGGGGGAAAAAAATTAAAAAGAAAAATTTAAACATATACCTATCATATGATTCAGCCATTCTACTCCTAGGTAGTTACCCGAGACAAATCAAAACATGTCCTTACAAAGACTTTTACATAAATGTTCCCAGCAGCTTCATTTGTAATGGCTTTATTTGAAAACAATACAAGTGTTCATGGATGGGTAAATAGACAAACTAATTGTGATATGATGGACTACTACTCTGTAGTAAAAAGGAATGAATGTATTAACATGAATGAATCTAAAAATAATTAGGCTGAATGAAAGAAGCCAGATAGAAAAGAGCACATACTATATCATTCCATTTATATAAAATTCTAGAAAATGCAAACTCATCTAATGTAATAGAAAGCAGATGAGTGATTGCCTGGGGATGGTGAGATGGGGGTGCTGATGGACGCAAGGGAGAGATTATAAATGGACATGAGGAAACTTTCAGGGTGATTGATATATTCATTATCTTGACTGTGGTGATGGTTTCACAGGTGTATACCTATTCAAAACTTATGTAATGTATACTTTAAAAATATGCAGTTTATATATACTAATTATATCTCAATAAAACTGTTAAAATTTATTATTTGATAACTAGGTTTTATATAAACATACATTGTCAAATTCGTTTTTTAAAGGAACGATCAGTTATTTCTATGTTCTTGCAAATACTCAATATGCACCCTTGTTACGTGAGAAGCATAACTGAGGTCTGAGTTATCCAAACTCTTTAAGCTTGTTGACGATACAAACATCAGGCATCCAGTGTTCTTTCATTCCCTCAAGGCCATAAGGAAGAGGCCAATAGTGATTTTTTTTAAAAAAAAGATCAAAAGATCTTAAACTTCATATAAAGAACGTGTGCCCAAGAATATTAAAGAAAAAAATACAAAAAAGGAAAATTAGTGAAGGAGAATTCACCATACCAGATATCAGAACATCTTCTAAAGCTACTGTAATTAAACACTATGGCATTGGACTAGAAATAGATCAGTGGACATAATATAGAACCTTTAATAGATGTCAATACATACGAGAATTATTTTTAGGTAAAGAACTTCTATAATGGTGGATACATGTCATTATAAATGAGTCCAAACCCCTTTGAGGGCATTATGCTAAGTGAAATAAGTCAGAGAAAGACAAATACTGGATGTTCTCACTTACGTGCAGAATCTAAAAAAGCCAAACTCATAGAAATAGAGAGTAGAATGGTGGTTGCCAGGGGCTGGCAGGGAGGGGAAACAGAGAGATGTTGGTCAAAGGGTACAAACTCCCAGCTATAGGATGAGTAAGTGCTGGAGATCTAATGTACAACATAGTGACTATACTTAATACTGTATTATGTACTTGAAAGTTGTTAAGAGAGTAGATCTTAAATGTTATCACCACACACACACAAATGGTAATTATGTGAGGGGATGGAGCTGTTAACTAACCTTATTGTGCTAATCACTTTGCAACATATACATGTATCAAATCATCAGATGGTACACCTTAAACTTCATATGTTATATGTCAATAATATCTCAATAAAGCTGGAAAAAATAAAATAAATAACTTTGTCCAAATCCATAGAATATACAACACAAAAAAGGGAACCCTAATGTAAACTATGGACTCTGGGTGATAACGACGTGTCAGTGTAGTTTCATCAGTTGTAACAAGGGTACCACTGTGGTGGGGGATGTTGAGAACGGGGAGGCTATGCATATGTGGGGGCAGAGGATATATGGGAAATCTCTATATTTTCGCTCAATTTTGCTGTGAACCTAAAACTGCTCTAAAAAACAAAGTCTATTAAAAATAAAATTAATATATAAAATATTAAATAAAAATGATTGGTACACATAGGAAAATATACTCAATTTTTTAAAGTAGTGATCATAGTGCAAAATAAGGACAATAGACATAATTTGCTGCTTATCAGATTGGCAAAAATAGATAAGTTGACAAAACCCTGTATTGGCAAGGGGGTGGGGAAATGGGCAATATCATACATTGTAAATTCATATGAACTTTCTAGAGGGAAGTTTGAAGTTTGGCAATGTACACAAGATTTGAAGTAATACCACCCAATGTTCCAGCAATTCTGCTTCTAGAAAATTCCCTCAGGAAAATGCACAAAGATGTGTATATATACACAAGTAAGTTCATCATAGAATTGTTTATAAGAGCAAAATATTGGAAACAATTGAAATGTATGTAATTAGTTCAATAAATTATAGTATAGATATGCAGTGTAATACCAGGCAGTAATTGAAAAATAATGAAATAGATCTATATTATTGACATGAAAAGATATCCAACCATACCGTTAACGTGTAAAAAAAAAAGTACCCCATCTCTCTCTTAGGGACCCTGGTTTGTTTGGTCCTCAGTTCCCCTGGGGCTAATGTTCCCACTTTCCTGATCCTCATGTCTCCCCACCACCAGGTGAGGTGGGGGGATCTGTGTAGGGAGGACAGAGATGACCCTCCCCTCAGATTAACTACATAGTCTGGTTTCTGGAATGGTTCTGAATACGAATATTTTGACCTTCTGTCCCCATACAGTCAGGACACTCCTAAATTTAATGTTCATTTTATAGCTGTGGATACTGAGGCCCACACTCCTGGGTCTGTTGAAGGAAAGGAGGCCTGCTACGTGTCCTGTCAAAACGTGCTAGAGGTTGCCAGGGACAGAAGGATTCAAGGGGTGTGGAAATGTGAACTGAAGAAGGAGTAGAGGTGGAAGGAGAGATGAGGCCAGGTTTTAGGGAGAGCTGGGTGGCATAGAAAAGGCAAGGCAGGATGTCACCCAAGACGCTAAGCCCCTCCCACCACAAAGTCTTGCCTCTGCAGACACAACTCTTCAGTTATGCCTGTCAAAAGCGGGCCTTAAACAAACGATGAATGAATGAATAAACAAATGAATGAATAAAACGAGACAGTTTATTACTGTATTGGAAGGAGGACAAAGAAAGAATCCAACCCTTCTTAGGTCTTGGTGGCCCCATTTTCTCTAAGTCATCCCACATTCACCAAATCTGTAAGGTCCTTCAAGTCTCCCCAAGTCTGGACAGCCATGAGTGGGCCCTGTGCCCAATCCGTGGGGATGGGGGCTCAAGAGCCACCACCATTTTGAGTCTGCTCAGCTGCCCACAGGTCCACAGATCTCAGTCCCTGGAGTTCCCTGCTGGGGTCACGCATGCCAGGCCCCCTTGACTTGAGCAAGGTCTGGGAGTGCAGAGAGAGGAGTCCTGGTCCCAGGCTTTGCAGGCCGAGAAGAACTTGGTGGTGTCATCTGGGCAGTGAGGGTGCCCTGACCTCTAGGTGTGGCAGGACCAAGATCGAGGTGTCATCAGCCCCCAGAAGGTTGTCTGTGGAAGAGAAGGGTGAGTTGTGAATGAATTCCCTCCCAGTGCCCACCGTGTGCATCCAAGACATGAGAGTCCATCACCCCCAAACCAGGCCCTGGCCCCTGACCATGGCTGTTGAATTGGGCAACAATAGGAGGCCGGCTGCTGGGAAAGGGAGGCATGTCCTCCTGGACAGGGAGCTGAGTTAGGGTCACGGTCCCTTACCTGGGCCAGGGGGCAGTGCCGCTGTGCATACCACTCCTGGCAATACAGGCTGACCTGGATGCCCTGGCCCAGAAAGAGCATGGTCCACATTAGCACGTTCCACGCTGGACCCGTGTGCCGGTCATGCATTGTGAAGTTCAGCAGCACTGGTGCAAGAGGAAAGGTTGTCACCTCAGCTCCAGATACCTGTGCCTTGTCTCCCTGGCTTCCCTACCATCCCATGGCACTAGGAAGAGATGGAACAGGAAGGCACCATTGGGGAAGATCTTGAACCCAGCTCCAGGAACGCAGGGAGGTCTCAAGTGGCTCTCGTAAAACCAGGATTCTTCAGTTTGCATTTCAATACCCTGGATCTCGTACTGAACCTCACAGCTTCACATCGTTTTTCTGCCCTCTGTCTCCTTCTAAGAGTGCCCTGCTCAGAGGCTCCTCTCCAATCAGACATCTCCCACATCCCCCAGGATACCCTCTTGCTGCCTCCCAATGCTGCCTCTCTCCCTGTTCCCAAGTCCCTCCCACCCCAACTCTCACACACAACTCTCTTGCCTTCCCCCAGAAGCCATGCACATCCCCTTCTGTCTTGGGTGTGTGGCCTCCCCCATCAGTCTGGAATCTCTAGGAGCAGGAGCCCAGGCCTCCTCCCTCTGGATGGCTCCCCCTCCAGTGACACAGAGGCCGAGCTCACCTCCAAAGACAAGGAAGAGCATCAGCATGACGGGGTAAAAGAACCCCAGGACGAAGCAGAAGATGTACTCATGGACCACTGCAGAGACCAGAAACACGCCCAGCATGGCTACCCCTCGGGCCCGGCCTCCGAGGAGCTGGCAGGGTCGGAGGGAAGGGGGTGGAGTGAGTCTCTCTGAGACCCCTCCACAAAGAGCTCCCACCTTAAGGAAGCCAGGAGGGTGTGTGGTGCGATGGAAAGAATAGGGGATTTGGGGTCAGAAGGGCTGACATCAACCTTATTTATAAGCATTTTGTTACCCCATTAGGCCTTAGATACAACTTTGAAAAGGAGTATAATAATATTTACTTCTCAGGGTTACTGTGCAGATTAAATGTATGTGAAAACTCTTGGGAACTGAAATTACTATATGCATGTTCCTTAGAAGGTTAAGGAGGGGAGAAACGCCCCCTAGAGGGAGTGGAGTTAAGGATAAGGAAGGAAGTTAGATCATATGAAGGATTTTCCACCCATTGGGTTGGGTAGAATGGAGGCAGATGGAAATCAAGGGGGCCCTTAGGTCTGGAAAAGGTGGATGGTGCGGAGAGAGGGAAGGAGAGGCTGTCTCAGAGAGGCTCCACTAACTGTGGAAGCTGAGGGCGTCTGCAGAGCCCGTACCCTCAGCCCATCCTGATATATGTAGCTGTACAGCCAGTCATGGACCACCACGTTCCAAGTGCGGTAGTAGTTGGAGAAGGACGTCGAGTTCCACCAGTCCTGGGAAAGGGATGGGGTCAGGGTGGAGGGAAGGAGGTAGGCATCAAGGTACTGTCTCTTCCCAGGCCCCAGCTTCTCACCCCTGCTCCCCGCACCCTGTCCCAGTGTCTCCCACAAAGGCTGGCTGCTGGCAAGCACTCTCCCAGCTCCCTCTTCAGGACCGGGGGCCCTGCTCTCCCTCCTACTCCCCTTCTTAGGAGAAGATTCCAAAGTACCATCTACACAAAAGCAGCTAGCCCTGGCTGAGCGGGAGGTGGAGGGGTGGCATAACTACACCCAGAGGAGCCCATTTCTCATTGTGGGAGAACGACAGCACCCAACACAGTCACCATCCTCCCCAGGTTCCCCCCTAGCCCTCCTGCACCCAACTCCCAAGAGGCCCAGGTCCAGGCCCCACCTGGTAGAACATTCTGTCTCCAAATCGTAGCATCTCCGCGAAGGCGTTGAGCCAGCAGTGGAGGAAGGCAAAGAAAATGAGCAGCAGCATGAAGATGCCTGGCAAGTAGGGACAAGGGGCTGCAGGTCAGATTGGCCCACCTGGAAGCCCCAGGAAGCTCTGAGGAGCCCTCACCCAGCAGCCAGGGCCCCAACTCTTACCAATTAGTTATTAGTCATTTACTTATTCATGGATTCATCCATTTGCTCATGAACTCCATGCCAGATTTTGGGGATACAGAGATGAATCTCAAAGGCCCTGGCCATTAGGAGTTCACAGAGTGGTTGGAGAGAGAGAGAGAGAAGAGAGAGGCAGAGATAGAGACAGAGAGACATGTTCGACTACACATCAGGGTCAAATGTATTGGGAGCTAAGCATGGAGGCCATTGATATGCTTGGGAGTGCAGAGGAAGGAGTGGGTCATGGTGACTGACGAATAAAAAGGAAGGCTTCCTAGAGGGGGGTACATCTCAGCTATGGGCCTCCAAGAAGGAACTGGATTTCACAGCTGGAAAATGGGGACAGGGCATTCCAAGCTGAGGGACCAGCATGAGCAAAGGCCCGGAGGCACAGAAGTGCATGCCTTTCAAGGCATGGCTGAGCTTGTGGTGGGATAAGAAGATAGGCTAGGGGCCTGCCCTGTGGCTTAGCGGTTAAGTGCGCGCGCTCTGCTACTGGCGGCCCGGGGTTTGGATCCCAGGTGTGCACCGATGCACTGCTTCTCCCGCCATGCTGAGGCCGTGTCCCACATACAGCAACTAGAAGGATGTGCAACTATGACATACAACTATCTACTGGGGCTTTGGGGAAAA